GAACACAGATTGAGTTTGGGAGAAATAGACCTTGACATTTGGAAGTTGTAGTCACTGGGATTCACAGTTCACCTACAATCAAAGAGCGTTCTGAACCAGACTAATGATAGAATTGGGCCAAGCTTCCCACACGAAACCCCCATGACCAACAGAAAATACTCAAGGCCATCCAGTCCAATTCCCTTCACTAGGGCAAGAAAATGTAATCAAAGCCCTCCTGACAAAGAGCCATCCAGCCATAGATATAGATGGATGGATGGATGGATGGATGATTCACACAGAGAGAAATATAGTATCATAGATTTGAAAGGGACCCTTCAACAAGGACAATGATATATTGCATGTTTCAGGATGGGCAAACCAGACACTCTTCACATCAACACTGGCAAAGAAACAGCAAGAAATACTGTTTACCCACAAGCAGAAAGAAATTACATATATTAGGAACCAACACTTTCTCATTACTTTATTTTCCAGATCAACAGACTGGGCCACAGCAACGCGTGGCAGGGGACAGCTAGTATTATATATAGATAATCTCCAAAAGAGTCCCCAGTTTATGTATGTTTGTGTACATATGTGTTTATAATAATAATAATAATAATAATAATAATAATAATAATAATCCTTTATTTGTACCCCGCTACCATCTCCCGAAGGACTCGGCGCGGCTTACAAGAGGCCGAGCCCAAATATATCAATAAAATACAGCAGCAGCAACAACAACACAATATTCTATATCTTTACCCTGTAGGTTCTCAGTTAACCAGAACTCAAGCTGCTGTAACTCTCAAAGCAACTGGCAAACAAGTCAATTAAATAATAGTGGGTTGTTGTTCGGGCTATATGGCCATGGTCTAGAGGCATTCTCTCCTGACGTTTTCCCTGCATCTATGGCAAGCATCCTCACTACCTCTGAGGATGCTTGCCATAGATGCAGGCGAAACGTCAGGAGAGAATGCCTCTAGACCATGGCCATATAGCCCGAAAAAACCTACAACAACCCAGTGATTCCGGCCATGAAAACCTTCGACAATTAAATAATACTTTAAAAATCCATTAAAATGAAATCAATTTTAACTGCCATTTAACTAAAATTGCATATCGCATTCAAAAGTCTATTCTATAATGCATAGTTGTTAGTCATTACCTCTCTTGATTTGCTTTTTAATGACAGTATTTCAATATTTACTGCTTTTGTGATGTTTTATACTGTTTAATGTTTTTTTAATCTATATTATGTTTTATGTATACTGATTTGTTGGAAACTGCCTTGAGTCGCCGATTGGCTGAGAAAGGCAGTATACAAATACAGTAAATAAAATAAAATAAAATAAAATAAAATAAATCACTATCTTCTGGCTTAAAAGAAGCAATGCTTGACTATCAAACAAAAAGTGGGTGTTAGAAATAATATCATACAAAAGCAGAATGGCACAACCTGGGGATCACAACCAGACACAGTGAAGACATCTGCCCTTGCTCTTTGCTGATTTGCTGCTAAATACACATGCCCAGTGTGGAATACATTTCACAATGTTAAAAAGTGGATGTGGCACTTAATGAGACATGCTGCATTATCACAGGATGTCTATGGCCACACCGCAGGAGAAATTATACTGTTTAGCCAGTATTACACCACATGACATCCGTTGAGAAGTAGCAACCAATAATGAAAGGACCAAGGCAGTGACATCTCCGGCCCATCCTCTGTTTTGATGTCAGCCAGCATGCTAACACCTTAAATCAAGAAATAGCTTTCTAAGATCTACAGAGATACTTGAAGGAACACCTCAGCAAGCAAGAGTCCAAAAGTGGCAGGCTCAAACCCCAGAACCTCAATGTATGAGTGATACCACATGAGAAACTTACCTGTGGTCACACAAAAGACTGGGCAACTTGGAAGACACTGAATAGACTGCACTCTGGCACCACGGGATGCAGAGCCAACCTTAAGAAATGGGGCTACAAAGTGGATTCCACGACATGTGAGTGTGGAGTAGAGCAAATCACAGACCACTTGCTACAATGCTGCCTGAACCCACATGCACAATGGAGGACCTTCATATAGTGACACCAGAAGCACTCCAAGTGGCCAGGCCAATGGAAATGAAGTATAATGCCAAGTTTTTAACTTTGTTTGTGTTGTTAAATACATTATAACTGTACCCTCAACTCACTTCTGACATGATAAATAAATAATACTCTGCGCTCCACCTTGTAGTCTAAGATCTGCTGGGGAGGCTCTGTTCTCGGTCCCACTGGCCTCGCAAACGTGGTGGGGAGGGACAGGGCCTTCCTAGTGGTGACCCCCGCTTATGGAATTCGCTCCCCAGTGAGATTAGATCGACATCCTCCCTCCTTTCCTTCGGGAAAAAAACCCTAAAATCGTGGTTTTGGGACCAGGCCTTTGGCTAGTGGGCGCACCAGCATTTGAACATAGAACGGGACCTGACAACTGTTATGATAATTGAAAACGGATATGTGACTATGTGTTTGTGTGATTATATAATTAATTGTTACTGTTTTTAACCTTTTATGTATTTATGGTTTTATATTGATGTTTATTGAGATTGTGGCATCGAACTGCTGTTTATGTTAGCCGCTCTGAGTCCCCCTCCGGGAGTTGAGAAGGGGAGAGTAAAAATGCTGTAAAAAAATTAATAAATACTGTATTATTATCAAGTCCAAACAGAGTTTATGGTATGGTGTAGAATGCAGTGTGGTATAGATTAGACCTATTTTTAATAGCACCTCTCAAGTGACCAGAAGAAACTACATTTTTCTGGTATGTATTCATTCCCATGGGTGCTGTATGAGTCTGCTCTATTTATATGCATGTGTATATATCTCTCTGCATCAATCTATTCAAAGAAATATGACTGTTTGATTCTAAGGACCCTTCCACACAATATTATTCTATATAATTATTAATTATCAATAATTATGCTGGGGAAAATGGAAGGAAAAATGAAGAGGGGCCGACCAAGGGCAAGATGGATGGATGGCATCCTTGAAGTGATTGGTTCGACTTTGAAGGAGCTGGGGGTGATGACGGCCGACAGGGAGCTCTGGCGTGGGCTGGTTCATGAGGTCACTAAGAGTCAGAAGCGACTGAACAAAAATAACAATATATAATTATTAATAATAATTATTATTAATAATTATAATACATAATTATTACAATTATATATTATAATAATATAGAATTATTAATAGTTATCTATATATATAAAAATGCTCTGTGCATAATGAGTACCTTAAAAACAAAAGAACCAATGAACGAAATCACACCAAATTTGGCAACAAAACATCTCACTACACAAGGAGTGACCATCACTCAAAAAATTATGATTTTGTCATTTGGAAGTTGTAGTTGTTGGGATTTATAGTTCACCTATACTCAAAGAGCATTCTGAACTCCACCAACGATGGAACTGAACCAAACTTGGCACACTGAACTCCCATGACCAACAGAAAAGATTAAAAAGGTTTGGTGGGCATTAACCATGGGTTTTGTAGTTGTAGTTCACCTACATCTAGAGAGCACCGTGGACTCAAACAATGATGGATCTGGACCAAACTTGGCACGAATACTCCATATGCCCAAATATAAACACAGATGGAGTTTGGGGAAAATAGTCCTTGACATTTGGGAGTTGTAGTTACTGGGATTTATAGTTCACCTACAATCAAGGAGCATTCTGAATCCCACCAACAATGGAATTGGGCCAAACATCCCACACAGAACCCCCATGATCAACAGAAAATTCTGTGTTTTCTGGTGGTCTTTGGTGACCTTTCTGACACCCCCTTGGTGACCTTCCCCCGGGGTCTTGACTTCCCAGGTTGAGAAATGCTGCCTTAAGGCCATCCAGTACAACTCCCTTCACCAGGGCAGGAAAACATAATCAAAGCCCTCTTGACAAAGGGCCATCCAACCATTCACACACACACACACATATATATGTATATAACAGATGCAGTACCAAAGATTTGAAAGAGACCCCTAAAGAAGGGCAATGATATGTTGCATGTCCCAGAGTAGGGAAAACCGGACAATCAACACTGGCAAAGAAACAGCAAGAAATACTGTTTATCCACAAGCATAAAGACATTACATATTTTAGAAACCGACACTTTCTCATTACTTTATTTTCCAGATCACCAGACTGGGCCACAGCAATGCGTGGCAGGGGACTGCTAGTTAATAATATATAATTGGAATATATGGCGGTGTGGACTCAGATAACCCAATTCAAGCAGATATTGTGGGATTTTCTGCTTTGATATTCTGGGATATAAGGTTGTGTGGAAGGGCTCTAAAACACAAATTAATGTCAGTGCCCTCAGTAACAAAAATACCTCAGATGCACCCATTATTATAAGATGAACCCCATTTTAGAGATGTTTATGCAAGGGAAAGTGTGTCTTGGTATCTAAGAAATACAGTATAACACGTGTGTGAGCGTGTGTGATATAGCATGCTAGGCTCAACGGTAAGAAAACAGCTTATAATGTCAAAGACTGCACCTCCCATTTTCAAAGGGCAACTGCCTTCCAGCGATAAACCCTTCTTTCCTCTCAGCTCACTAATGGGAACGCTATGGTGATTTTAAACAGACCCTTTTAAGGATTTGGTCTCAAAATGTCTGGGAGGATGACTGCGGATAAGCCCTTCGAGAACCCGAACCCTGGCTGCTTTGTTCTCTCTGGATTTGCAAATGTAGATGACAGGAATCTGCGGTACGTGGAGCCCTTCTGCCTTTACAGCACCTTGGTGCAACCAGTTGGATTGCTTGCTTCGTCCCTCTGCAGAATGTCAGTCTGAGATAACTCAAGCCAGCCTTACATAACCCTGGCAAAGAGTGCTGATGCGCTCGCCTATGAATAAATAAAGCCATTTCCACTATATACCTGCCGCTGCCAAGCATGCAAAGAGAGAGAGAAAGAGAGAAAGAAATGACATCCAAGGGTCAAGAAAAGCAAAGATGCCTTACGTGGAGAACGCATTGTTCTGCTTCTCGCACCGAATCCCCTTGCAATTGTTGGGCTCCTCGGAGGCAGTGGTCTCGTAATAAAAATAGAGCTGGTTGAGTCCATTGGCGAAGGCCAGTAGCACCAAGCAGTAAATAAAGAGGAACTTGAGGATGTCTAGCAGCATGCGTCCCAAAGAGATCTGGAGGGGTCCCAGGTGAGAGTTGGCTGTAAACAGGGAGATGAGACGCAAGGAGCTTAAAATGTTTGATATGGCAAAGAGGGCTTCTGCAATGAGGGTGGGGTGCCACATTTCCCATTCCTCCCGTGGACGGGAGCCATTGTACTGCAAGAAATAACAAGGGAGGGGGGAGGAAAGGAACACAGAGTGAATGGCTGCAGTCATGACCGCGGACCACATACATTGCAATATTTCCGACACACAACCCCAACACACGATGCACCCTCTCCAACATTTGAAGGACGGAAACCGAGACCCTTGGAGCCAAGAAACATAGACTGGATTTCGTATTGTTTTCTATTTTGTTAGCCACTTTGAATCATCATCATCATCATCATCATCATCTGCCAAATATTACACTATGTAACACCATTTTTGTTCCTGGGTTTATTAAACTGCACAAACTTTGACATCCTGCAGCACATTTTGCTATAATTTTTCAGTGAATATCTTGTTGGCAAATCTTGCATGCAGGAGCCCCCGGTGGCGCAGTGGGTTAAACCCCTGCGCCGGCAGGACTGAAGACCAACAGGTTGCAGGTTTGAATCCGGGGAGAGGAGGATGAGCTCCCTCTATCAGCTCCAGCTCCTCATGCGGGGACATGAGAGAAGCCTCCCACAAGGATGATAAAAACATCAAATCATCCGGGCGTCCCCTGGGCAACGTCCTTGCAGACGGCCAATTCTCTCATACCAGAAGTGACATGCAGTTTCTCAAGTCGCTCTTGACACGATAAAAAAAAAATCTTACATGCACATTGAAATGGTTCAGAAGTCTGTATGTTTCTATGTTACCTAACTCTCTTGCCATGTCAGGTTTTATGGCACCCTCATTTAACCATTTGCATGGGGTTTCGGGGAGCTTTCTTCATTGTAGACATGGCCCAAGTCATATAGACAGCTCTTTGAAGTCTGAAGACTATAAAAGAGAGGTTCTCCTTTATCTGGGTGCTGGTTTGGTCTTTCTCTCCTACTTGTAACAGAGTGACCATCATCCGTTTCCCAGCTATGTAGTTTTGCATGCTGCATGGTCGTCTGATCCATGCTCTCAAGCTAGAGAATACTACCTTTTTACTCTCTCTTTTTGGATTGTACTTTTGATATACTGCAACGAAGTTATCCATGTACCTGTGTGATCTTTCGCTCAAGATTTCCTAAGTTAATTACTTTTTATTACATCAACCAGTTGATGTGGTGTGTTTTGTTTTCTGGCAGCTCTGAATGCATATTCCTTTGCATGCTAAAGGGGGGGGGTGTTAAATGGGGGCCGGGCTTTAGCACAGCTGGTAAATCCCCAGCAATGATAAGATCTATCAACTGAAAGGTTGCCAGTTTGAAGCCCCAGGTTGACATGAGCACCCGATTGTCAGCCCAAGCTCACTGTTTACCTAAGCAGTTCAAAAACAGCTTGAGCTGTAAGTAGAGAAATTAGGTACTGCTAAACAAGTGGGAGAGGTATTTTTTATTTATTTTTATTTACGACATTTGTATCCCACCCATATCAGCCCAAAGGCAACTCAGGGTGGCGTACAAGTCAGCAACAATTAGATGCCATATATAAGAATGCATACATTGGTAAAAAGCAAAAAAACATCACAACACCATAACAGTGTTTATGGTATTTTATAACACCAAAGAGAAAAAGATCAGAAAATGCCCGGCAACTAAAAGGAAGGAGGATGTCCTGATGGCTCTTCATCATAGAGGATGGAGCGACAGCACCGCCCTGTGACTGGATTCGAGCACAACCTCCAATGGCGCCAAAAAGCTGGACGTCGATACAACATACCTCCTTTCTGTTCTGTCTGTCTGTGTACAAAACAGCATTGAATGTGTGCTGTGTATGTGTACCCTGAGTCCCTTTGGGGACATAGGGCACAATAAAAATAAAGTGGTGTTGTTGTTGTTGTTGTTGTTAGTTTATTGACAAAAAACAAAGCAAACGAGATTTATATGCTGGATTTTGTATCGCAAAATCACAAGTTGAACACTTCCCAAGCGTCTATTATTATTATTATTATTATTATTATTATTATTATTATTATTCTATTATTATTATTCTATTATTATTATTATTATTATTATTATTATTATTATTATTATTAAAGCTTAACTCTGCCTGTATTCTTCTTTTTTCTCTTTTTTTTTTGAAAGGAAAGCTGTACTATCTCATACCTCTGGCTCTCCTGTTGTGTTTAACTCTGCTAATGTGATGCTTTAGAGGAAGCTATAACTATTTCAAATGATTTAGTTTGCCTCTGGTCAAATGCTCTAAGCATTTACTTAATCCCAATATATCTAATTGAGTCTCAGCCAATTTGACATAGTTTGTGGCAGACACAAAAACAAAGTTTCTGGAGTGTAACAACTACTTCCAAAGTAAATAACACAGTGGCTGAGGGGGAAAGGGAAAGGGCCTGAGGCTGTTAGGAATTGTGGGAGTTGAAGTCCAAAATACCTGGAGGGCCAAAGTTTGCCCATGCCTGTTCTACAATGTAGATTGCATCCTTAGCCACAACCCTGGGTTTGCATTTAACTCTTTGCTGTTGTGGTTGTGCTTGGGAAGGGATCTGTTGGGCTGCCAAAGAGGATCTCTCCTTTTACACAGTGTCCCTTGGCCAGAGTTTTTGCTGACCCCCAATGGAAAAGAACTTGACGAAGTTATTAGATTGCCCAGAAGTGTACTTTTTGGTGGCCTCAAGGACAAGCTGAAATCAGTCTTCAAAAGAAAGAAAATCAATGATGCACCCTTCTCATGTCCTATGTAGTCATTTTTGCCATCTTGTGCCAAAGCACTGAAGGTACTTTTCCAGATACTAGTGAATGTCAAACTCACCGGGACAATGCGGCGATCGCAGAGTAGATCCACAATACAGAGTTATAGAAGGCGGATACTGCTTTAACTGCCATGGCAACATTGTGCAAAACTCTGGGATTTACAGTTTGGTGAGGACTTGGATTTCTTTACTTCAGCAGAGAATGCTAGCCATCAGCAAAAACCTTATAGAGCTAGATTTTCCAAAGAACCCATCCTGCCCCTAAAATAATGGGCCAAATTGTCCATCAAGGGCTTTCTGACCATGTGTGGGAATTGTGGTGGCGCAAAGGGTTAAATCCTTGTGATAACTGAACTTCTGACCTGAATCCGCAAGATAGGGTGAGCTCCCATCTGTCAGCCCCAGCTTCCCATGCGGGGACATGTGAGAGGTCTCCCACAGGATGGTAACACAGCTGGGTGTCCCCTGGGCAACGTCCTTGCAGACGGCCAATTCTCTCACACCAGAAGCGACTTGCATTATATTAATTCACTTCTCTCACACACATGAACAAACAATTTTTGGGATTTTGTCTTAATAACAGAAAGCAAGAAAGCATTTCTGGTTCCAAAAAAAAACCCTCTCTTGGCCGTCCTTGCAGACGGCCAATTCTCTCACACCAGAAGCGACTTGCATTATATTAATTCACTTCTCTCTCTCACACGCACAAACAATTTTTGAGATTTTGTCTTAATAACAGAAAGCAAGAAAGCATTTCTGGTTCCAAAAAAACCCTCTCTTGGGCATTAATTGTCCAAGGAGAGGGACAAAATATGTGGTAACTCCACCAATACTATCCAGAGCAGTGTTTCTCAACCTTCCTAATGTCACAACCCCTTAATACAGTTCCACATGTTGTGGTGACCCCCAACCATAACATTATTTTTGTTGCTACTTCATAACTGTAATTTTCCTACTGTTATGAATCATAATGTAAATATATGATATGCAGGATGTAGTTTCACTCACTGGACCAAATTTGGTACAAATACTCAATATGCCCAAATGTGAACACTGGTGGAATTTGGGGAAGATAGACCTTGACATTTTGGAGTTGTAGTTGCTGGGATTTATAGTTCACCTACAATCATAGAGCATTCTGAACCCACTAATTATAGAATTGGGCCAAACTTTCCATGCAGAACCCCAATGACCTACAGAAAATGAGGAATTTGGATGAATTGACAGTGATTTAGGGGAGATGTAGTTCACCTACATCCAGAGAGCACTGTAAACCTAAACAGCAAATGCCAAAGGGATTCCTAAGACCATCAAAAATATGTGTTTTCTGATGGTCTTTGGTGGCCCCTCCGAAGCCCCCTCAGGTTGAGAAACACTAATCTAGAGAGCATTGGAAGGCAAAAATGTTATTTTTTGAAAAAATTAGAAATCATGGTTGAAATGTCCATGCATGGCTACAAACATGGCAGAGATGTCCTTCACACACCTTCAAAGTTCAGTCCATCTTGAATCCCAGTTTGGGAGAGAGGTGGGATATAAATCCAATGAATGATTACTTTGGAGCAATACCCACATTTTGTCTAACTTTGCCTTACTCAGATGTCCATTGTACTCCATTTAGGTTGATAGTTTCAAGGCTAGGAGCTTTGAGAAAACTTGGTTTGGACTACCCAGTCGGTTTGTTGTCTGTGTCTCCCTTCTGCTCATTAATGAGATCCTTCCTTTTTTGCAGCATTCACTGTGATCTTTTTTCAGTTCTGCACAAAATGTATTTTTCTCACATCCAATTCCAAATACTTTTTTGATGTGGTTCGCTTGAAGTCGGAACCACATTGGAGCATCAAGAGCTGCCAAAGCCACTGGATCCTTAGGATCTGAGTCACATGTTGGAGAGCCGGATAATATATTGGCCTTCATTAGGAATGTGTGTTTCTCCCTCTTAAGTGCTGTATAAATGCTAAGGATGGGATCCTGTAGGCGACACAATTTGATGCAATTTAGGACCTGTCCACCTGTCCACACTACACTATTACATGGCTCTACTTTAAAGCGCCATGGTTCTGTCCTATTGTATCCTGGGAGTTGCAGTTTGAGGAGGGGGATTTGCTCACGACTCACTATTCATAATGGAGGCAATGTGGCGCCTTCAATATACCAATGGGTTGCAGAAAAACTAGATATATCTCCCCACATTATCATCATCATCAACAACAACAACACAATTGTTGGGTTGCTGTGAGTTTTCCGGGCTGTCTGGCCATGTTCCAGGAGCACTCTCTCCTGACGTTTCACCCACATCTATGGCAGTCATCCTCAGAGGTTATGAGAT